TTAATGAAGAATAACAACTAATAAACACTTAATGACTTCAGAGTATATTTCATACATGACATGTTGGAAATTTAGCAGCTGAATAACTGATCTCAGCATGTGATCTTAGAAATTGCAGGAGCTTTTGGTGAGGGAATAATTTTTATGCAGCTCAGCCATTGCTCGCCTTCTATAGATGCACTTTGGGAAGTGCTGGATAAATCAAGGTATAGCTAACATTCAGTAATTAGGTTAAAAATCTGGATGAGACATTCACATTTCATTATTTATGAAAAGCTTATGTTCAAGGGTAACTTTGTTTGAAAGCACACTTGTGTAAAGAAACTGTAATGGCTTATTTTGAAACAGGCTGTGTTGAGACTGATGCCACCTTATTTTGAGAATTGTGGTATCTTTTGAAATTCACCAGACCAGTCAAAATTTAGCTAATTAGAAATCACAGCGTATTTTGTCATATTTTTGATAGAAGAACTGATCCATAATAATAGTTACTACAATGTTGGATTGATTAATCTTTGAGAAAGGTTAAGCTTGTGTATCTTTGTAAAGAATAAATATTTTCATCTCACTTTATGTACAGTTTAATGCAGGTTTTTAAGGCTTCTTCAACAGAAGTAGCACTATAGAGTTTGATTGGAGCAGTGCTTTGATGTCTGGCTTTGAATATGACCAAGTATTTTTCCTCAGGCACCATGGCTGCCACCCACCAATGTTCTATAGCTGAATTTGTTATTTTAATGGACATCAGCAGTGTAATGTAGGTGCAAACGACTGAGCTCTTCTTAAAACTACATGTGTAATTTCTCATTTATTTTCAGGGATAACTTAATGATCTCGCAGGCATTCTGAGTTACTGGACCAAAGTTAGGGCAGACAGATTTTGTGAAATATGGTGTTTCTGTACTTTCTTTAAAGCCCCAGTGGATTTTGTAAGAATTTTTCACATTCTCATGGCACTCTACCTATAGATGTAATTGGAGCATTTGGTCAGAAAGTGTGGATTTTGTGGCTGAAAATGGAGACTCATGATAGATAACTGTCCTGCTATGCGTTAGCATCAAGTTGAATGAAAAAGGATGTGCTGTTCCAACAGCAGTAAATGCTCTTTGGCTTCCCCTTTCCCTACTTCATCCTGCTGACTCAAACGAGACTTGAGCAGCATTGCTGCATGAGTTGCTTTGCAGTGTTGGAAAATGTTCATTCTGTGTTCTGGCTCTGAGTTGTTACTCATTGGGAAAGATTTGCTATGATGAAAGATTTGATCAAATCAAATAGATTCTTCTCTGAGCCTTCATAGTTAGGATTTGAAGCCACTTGCTCATGATAGAACATTTGATTGGAAAATATATGTTGCATCTTCTAGAATTATAACAGGCATTTTAAGAGCTGATTTGTAGTATTACAATTAGAAGACCTATGTGTTTTTTTTTTGTTGTTGTTCCGAAGTATCTCATACAAGGCATAACATTGTAGTGTTATATAATTCTGAATCATCTTCCTTTGCTTTCATAGTGTTTCAAGGTGCAATTCTGATTTGGTAGTTACTTGGTAGTTACTTGCCAGAGTAAATAACTTATCTGCTATTTGAGGTGCTTGAAAGAAAACTGAGAGAATCCTGAGAAAAGTGAGACCTGTCACTTGAACAAGCCATCTGAATTGTTCCACTGTAGTTTCTTTGTCAGGTCATAAGATATACTGATGACATGAGGATGCTCCAAAAGTAATGCCTTCTGTTTACTTCTATGGAAACTGAAGCATCTACAAAGAGCACAATGACACTATTTGATAGAGCAAATTCTCAGCTGTAGAACAGTATTTTTCAACACAGTCACTACCAGTTGCTGTGCATTTTCACCAGCAATGAACAGAAGCCTGCTTGCCACGCTCTTCAAAATTTGTACCAGCAGAGGTGGCCCACTTTCACAGTCCTCACTGCTGAAACCCACTGCTTCCCTGTGCTCACATCCACTGTTTGGTCTCTGCAATTGTTCAGCAAGAACGGATGAAGATCAATGGGTACCACTTTTTCCACATCAAGGAATTCAATGTCACACCTGTGCTTCATCCACTCTTCCATGTCAGATGCCATTTTGTTACACTGCCCCTCTGCTGCCATCTGTCCCATGGCAACATTTTATGGAACAGTGATGGAAAGTTTCAACCCCTACCACCGTACCAACATCATCTGCCTCTTGTTCTAGGCCAACATCATGAAATAGGAGGCATTGCTTTCAGAGCAGACCTTGTAGTTTAGAAGGCTAACAGACTGTTTAATTAAATTTCAGATATGTGATGATAAACAACCAAAGTGATTCTGAACTTCACATCAAGGGATATAATAGAAGGATGAAGGGTGTGAAAACAGTATGGCCAAAGCCCTAGAAATGTCCTATCTGGATTTCATAATGGCTGAGTGTACAGAGGTGTTCTCTAGCTGGTGACTGGGCTCTGCCTGCAGTTTTCTTTTCCTTCTCTTTCCTCTGAGCAAGATAGGCCTTGGGGCCTGCTGGAATGTGCCTTGTGGAGCTCTTTAGTTTTTGCCTCTTGTGTGGGTCTAGTCAGCAGCTCAGGCTGCCTCAGTAGACCTCTGCTGGGCTATGGATGTAATCTTGGTGCCATTTTGGCTGCTGTGCAGTAGCCAGGTGAGGGGCTTGTGCTGGTGGGCTTGCGAGAAGGCAGATCTGGAGTCCACAAAGGAACTGGTTGGCAAACCTTGGACTAGAAAGATACTTGTTCGAGGAGGCATGTGCAGGTGTGGGGCTTCCTACCGTGTGGACTTATTCAGGATAATGAAGTCATACCAGTTGTACTAAAATTGCTTTTAGAATTGCATCTAGGTAGTACAGTACAAATATTTAACAATTTAAACTTAACTTACATTAGAATAGTTTAAATGTGGTGTTTGAAGAGCTGTAATTATCTATTTGCCCTAGAAATTCATGGTGATTTGCTGTGATCAATTTTAAATTGGTCATAATTCAACCATGAACTTCTATTTTTATCAGACAAGGCCTGCGGCTGGCCTTTGTAAACTGTGATAAAATATATCCAGTCTTAGTATGACTTCTTTTGTGTGATGGATTTCTTCTGCTGAAGGCCAATTTTGACCATTATTTTGCATATAAAATAATTAAATTCTGAAGAACACTCTGTTCAATTTTTGTTCCCTTACATCAAGAATAGTTTCTATTTGTTATAATTTCTATTAGATTACTCCCAGTAGAGCATTTTCACTGTCTTTTTATGTTAGACGGGTTGATGGACTCTATGACTTTCTTTATTTCTGACTTCTGGAAGGTTTTTTTCCTCTAACAAGAGAGAGTGTGAGACAGCTGGGCTACCCTAGTTTATGCAATAGGAAGCAAAATACAGAAACAACTGCAGTTCCATAGTGAGCTGCTGGTATTGTAATATGTGGAACATGTTCAGGTTGCTTTCATTGAAGGTTACTTGGAGAAGACATAGTGAATGCTGAAAAAAGTCTGTTGGGAAAATTCAGGTTGAGTGCTTATATGTTTGTATACTGTGTCCTTCTGATGAGGTATGCTTTAGGCTTCTGTTAGGAGTTGCTGAGGTATTCAGAGTATGTGCAAGTCTGTCAATATAAAAATCGACAAAAGGTTGTGATTGGAGGTGAATATTTAATGCATTTTGCAGGGGGGGGAAAGCAAAAATTGCCTTTTGGAATACCACTATGCCTGTGATCAGAATAATTCTGGTACCTGGGGTTCTGGCAGTGGATTCTGTTTCAATGAATAGAAGGCAGCTAATCCGGGGCATAATTCAGCTAGTCACTAAGTTCCTTTGAAGTGCTAGTCTTGCAAATAAGCCATTTCAGTATGTTTTTGTGATACAAAATGGGTAACAGGCAGAGCTGATATTCCCCTGATTGTGTGCAAGATAGAAGAATGGAATACATTTCGAAAAGTGGTAAATCCTTAAGAAGCTGGGAGTAGTCCTCTTTATCTTTGCCTCTTGGCATAGCAGACTTATTTATATATATATAAATATATATATATATATGTATTTAAAATGGAGATAGCAAAAATAGAGTGCTACATTTTGATCTTTCTCTTTCAGTGATTTTTTTTTTTTTTTTTATCTTGATTCTTTCTATTGCACTCTGAAAGCAGCTAATCTGTGTTTTCATCTATATGTATTGAATATACATGGGGAAATTTAGCTGTTGAGTATAAGACCTTTTTACATAACATTGCATTAATGTTAGCAATCTTATGGTGGTGTTAGTTTTCTCAGACTGAGAGTCCTGCATTCAAAACTTTAACGCTTATTATTTGGGTGGCAGGTAAAACAGAATCACAGAATCACAGAATTGTAGAGGTTGGAAGGGACCTCCAGAGATCATCGAGTCCAACCCCCCTGCCAAAGCAGGTTCCCTACAGCAGGTGAAAACAGTAAATGAAGATCTATAAAATATCTCACTAGAATAACAGATACGCAGCCATAGATTTTTAAAGAGCTGCAGCTGTTCTGGAAGCTGAATTTGAAATGCTTGTATTAATAAAACACCAGAGAACTAGGCATGAGCAGTAACAAGTTATGTGAAAAATTTTCTAGTGTTGTTCCCTTTTTTTTGATGCAGATTTGGTCTTATGTGATCGTATGTCTTTTCAGACATTGTTCTGTATCAGTGAGACTAAGTAAGTTCTGTGCTGTGAGTGATCTGAGAATGAGAAATAGCAGAGCACAGCTACAGACTGGAAGGCCACGGATTCACTGTTTGTGGGTTTGTGTCCTGTTGTATCAGCGAGTTCACTTAAAAGCAGGTGCAAGAAAGTGAGTGAATGCACACAGTTCTCTGGTAACACCTTATCACGTCTGTCTGCAATACAGGCAGCGTCTTTGTTTTGTTAAAGTGGAAACTGATGCATTGTCTGAAATTGCTGAATGCTACAATATATTACCCTTAAGAAACTGCAGAAGTGCTTTACTGACTTAATTTTTTTTTTTTTTTTTTTTTTTTTTTTTACCCCCTCCAGATGGTCTGGAGCACTTGATACCTTCTGGCTCTCTTCGTAAAAAGAAACTGGCAAAAAGACCTGGATACATGAGGCCAGAGGCTCAGCGACAGCTCCAATTTCAGTCCCTGGGTGCCTGCAAGTCCTTCAGTCCAGAGGAGTTCAAGCATGACAAGAGGCACTGTGAACAGCTGGAGGACTTCTCTCTCTGCAGAGAACAGAAAAATAACGTTGAGTTCTTATGCTGTAGTTCAATTGCAAGTAGTGCTGTAGTTCTTGCTGATGGGGTAACAGCTTTGGGCACTACTGTAAATATGCCAGGAAGTTGCGAAAATTTTTCGTGTTCCAAGAATCCATGGTCAGAAAACATAGCATCAATTTACCCTGCTGAAACAACAAGCAAAGTTGTTTCTGTAGTAAGTGATACACGGCAGACGAACTGTGGAACTGAAGTGGGTGAGCCCCTAAAGATACATGTGTTGGATCAGGCAGAAGTGAATAATAACTGTGAATATCAAAACAGGGACGTTGTTTCTTGTTCTGGTGGTCCACGTGATAGTTTTCGTTCGAGTTTCAGCTTCATACAGCTCTCTCTGAATTCAGCCTCTGGAGTAAGTGATGCTGAACTCAAGACAAGTGTTCTGCATCCCAGCAGTGCCAGAGATCTGCAGGAGCCAGGAGAGGCAACAAAAACTCAGGAGCACTCAGGGGCTTTATGTTGCTTCTCTAGGCTCAGTGAGGATTTGAAGCCTGAAATTGAGAACACAGTAAATGATAAACTTCAGGATTGTGAGACCTTCTCTCTCTCTGATACGGATGCAACACTGTCATATTCTACAGATTCCTCAGATGTGGCATCTGCTGGCTCCTCTGTTACCTCAGGCTATGAAAGTAGTTTTACTGTCAGTGACCAAAACTGGGATACTTTGATAAAAAGGTATGAACCAGCACTACTGGACTGCCAGCTTGGCAACTGGAGTACAATAAAGGTTTGTAATCTCGTTTCATCTTTGATTCCTCCTCTTGGCACCCAAAACATATATATTCGTAATGTCGATGTCTTAATTTGATGTGGGTATTGGGATGTTAACAGGTTTCATGGTACTTTTCCATAGAAGCTTTCAGTATCTGTCTGCATGATAAAAATGAAGGAACCTGTGTGTTTTGTTTTTAAAAGAACCAAAACAAGAGAAACCCAACAAAGTGATGATGTTGCAGTAATTGGCTCCTATGGCATACTGAGACTATGATCTTATTTCTACTGTCATACATCAACTTCTGAATTTAGCAAGGGCTGCTTTTGCAGGTGGCTTTCTTGACTGCAGATTACTGGAGTGTATGCAGAGCAAAATTTGAAGGTGGTAACATCTTTTTTCCTTGAAGCATCATGATTTAATGAAACAGAACTTTGTAATTGAAAATGTGTAAATTTAGCCAAAGATTTCTAGGGGAAAGGCATACGTGTGAGGGTAGCCTTCAAACTAATACACAATTGCACTCCGCTCAAGATGATAGATGGGGTTCCGTTCCTTGCTCTAATTCAGGCTGGTAATTAAATATTTTTTTTCCTTCCACCTTACAAGATTTATGGGCTGTTGATTAGAAGTCATTTTTTTGGATGTATGTGTGCGTATCCACATGTATACTTACCATGTATACAAGTAGCCTCATTCACTGTATTCTTTGTGGGAGGGGAGTGAGGAGACCTTAAAAAGGATCCATTATTCTTTTTATTGTACAGGAGGATTTTTTCTAATCTTTGATAGTTTTGGGGTGGCAGAGGAGCATCAGAAGAAAGCCATTACGAGCCTAGGTGCAACAAGGAGCCAAATTTTGGTTCTGTTGTGCACTCCGGAAGTGGTAATCTGGAGTTCAGTATGGACATGCTGGATCTCATGAATTTTAAAACTATTAAAATTCCTCTGAGTGTGGGTGCTTGCTGAGCCTCTCATCAGTGCCCTTAGTGCCCTGGAGCAATGCCTGGGATGTGTGTACCTTACATGTAGAAAGGTGCACCAGTTCTGCTCATGCTATCTGTGTTAACCCTAGAATGAAAAGCCTTCAGAAAGCAGGCTCTTGTGACTTCTTAGCACAGGCGTATCTATTGAGATGCACTGTGTTGTCTTTAGGCCTAAGGGAGTAGGGTGGCTGTTCCCTTCTATCTGGGTAAGGCAGTATGCTGAGAAACATTATTCTTACTTTTTTGTCTGTGTCATCTGACCTGAGTTTACAACACTCTCTGATCCCTGTTTTTCATGGGGATGCATGTAGGACTCAAACTAAGTTCTCTTGCACACTTATACAGACTCTACATGCATTGACATGGAGCAACTGTTTTAGCTTCAGGCCCGGAATGGCGATGTTCCCATAGTGTGGGATAACTTGGGAAATTAATTTTCTACAAATCTGGGAATGTATGACATAATAAAAATACAAAATGATTTTCTGTCTTTTTCAGTCTGCTACCAAATGTAGGCACAAAGAAACATTGCTATCTTTAATTTCTATATTCATTAATTCATTGAATGGAGAATTGGGGAATTGTGCCTTCAGATGTCTTTCCCTTGGTCCTGTGTGTTTAATTTGAAACACCTTCCTATTGCAATGATAATGAGCAACTTTCAAACTTTTCAGAAGGGAACAAAGACAACTGTAGTCAGAAAAAGGAGACAGTACCAAAGCTGTTAAAACTGTGCTTCTTCTGCACTCATTTTAATTAAAAAAAAAAAAAGAGGGTACTCATCACCTGGTACAGGTTTAGGATGTTCTGATCTGAAGCACCTCCTTCAGCAGTCAAGCTCCAAATGTCTTTCTAGCCTGCAAACAGGAGAACTTGATTGTCGCACCATCAGTCACTTAGCCATGGGCATGGCTGTACTGCGGTACCCAAGCAGATTTTAAATGACCTGCCATTGGGAGTGCATGATGGAATAAACAGTGCAAAAAGCAGCAATGCTCTATTCGCAGTGTAAATGGTTGTTATATATCATATATATGAAAAAAGTGTCATTTGAACCATTTCTACTGTAAGCTTCTTTAGAACTCTATAAAAATATGCCATAAAATACAGAAAACGATTTATGGTGAGGATTCAGTACTTCTTCAGTTCCTTCTACATGTTATATGTTCATCGCCAGCCTCAGAGAAAAAACACTGATGTTTCTGTATGTGAAAAACAATACTACTGAAAACAAAACAAAAACAACAGAAATTTTGAGGGTAAGGGACTATGTGCAGTGGTTTGGTTTTTTTCATTTGTTTTTCCTCTGGAGGGTCCTAGAGCCTGCTATTAATCTAGCTTTTTTTCCCCCTCCTGCCTATACCTTTTATATATGTTTTCTGACCAGTCCATTTCACTACTATATTTGTAAGAGATGCAATTAATTTACATGTCTTGCCGGATTTGCACTGACTGTGTTGATGTGACAACTGAATGGTTCTAGTAAGTTGTTACACAGCTGCACCTCTTTTTCTGTATGCTATTTAGAGTTTTAACTATAAAGATTTAAATACAAAAGTGCTTTAGGAAGGAGCAAAGTTTTTGTACATGCAGAATGCCTCAAGTATGAATTTTCTTGCTTTCCCAAGCACTTTCAGGCTTTGGGCTATGAGGATATATGTTGATTCTTTTTCTGGGTTTACCTTTCTCAGTGCTGATAATGGCTTGTTGGTACAGGTCGAGTGTAAATTTAAGTAAGAAAACACTTCTCAAATTTATGACTGTAACTGTGCTAGACTGTGATGGGAATGGGGCAATGAGGAAAGGACAGCATACCTTTAACCAAATTCTTGTTATATAATAAAAACTGTTAATATCCTTTGGATGCACACCTGCCCTTCTGAAATACTTTGGTAAAAGATGTAGATTCATTAGAGAGAAGCATTTTCTTTTGGAAGAAAACTGTACCCTAGTAAGAATGTCTTTGGTGTGTAAAGGCACTTTCTATGTGGTATAGGGTTTTTTTTCTCACCCCTCCCACTTGTAATATGGACATTTCTAAAAATGCAAATTTCAGTGTTTTCTAGATAAGCTTAAAATATATTTTAATTAAACTTCATTGATTGCAATTGAGCACAGTTCTCTCTGCCTTAATCTGAGTATTCTTGATCCAAAATATCCATTTCTCTTTTTGTTTGCATACTGAAATTCTGGATGTTGTCTGTGCAAAACTTGAATAGCCACAAAATTAAGTGGGCTAGAGAACAGAACACTGAGTTAGAATGGGATCAGAAGTAGACGCTAGGTTGACAGAATCCTATAATAATCCTTACTTGGAAAAGGGTGAAAAATATCCTATGATCACACAATCTGTTTTGCTTTTCAAGAAAAGCTGTTGATGTCCCTTGTAGATGTTTGGACCAAAGCCATTCTTGACTGAAGTGGCTGCAGCTGATTTCAGTAGGTCTGTCTACTTAACAAATGTGAGGTTTAATTCTCAAGGTCATTCTAGTGAGGTAATAGTAATTGTGTAGATTTGTATGATGTAGAGATTAATAGTGATTCTTACATGTAACTTCTATATAACTAACTTTTTTTTCTATGCACAGGTAAAATCCATGATATTACGGATTCAGAGGCTTCAGCAGAAAGCAATAGAAGCAGATGATTATGATAGAGGTGAGAGTTGCCCCCTCCTTCCTCCCCTGAATCGTGCTGCTTCCTCTCATTCCACTCCTCCCCCAGTTAATTTTATTTTGTATTTTTTACACTGCAGTGGTTAGGTATGGAAGACGAGTTCAATGAACTCTATTGTTCATTCTATAATGTGGCAGGAAACAAATTAAAGAGAGAAGTAGGTCAGCAGCAGGTAGCAACAGTTTTTATTTTCTTGAGCAACATCACCATGTGGGAAGGTTAAAATGCGAATAGCCACCATCTGGATCAGCTGTTTTGAAGCAGCATGACTTTAAAAAATACAGAAATGAATTAAAGCTTTGAAAAGAGAAAGGACAGGCCCTGGCTGCTGACAGGGTGTGATTTGTTGCTTGCCACATTTAGTCATGACACTACAGCAGAGCTCTAACACAGAAAAATGAGGTCAGTAGCTATAATAAAAGTGAATGATACTGTCCTGTGGGATTAACTTGATGTCCACTGAGTTGAATAAAAAGCACCTAAAGAATGATGATACATCTGGTGTCGAGTATCTATATTTGAGTAATGCTTTTCAAATGGATTGGCACTTCTGATAAGCTGTGTGTTAATAATTAGAGCATCCATTAACATCTCAGGTTTCTTATTATTTTCTGGTAAGGCAGTCTGTGTTCAGATAATCATATTTTGACAATCTTGAAGTTTCATCCTAGATGAAATTCTTCCCAGCAGATTTATCTTTGTTTGGAAAGTACTGCAAGTGTTTCAGTAAGCTGCATTGATAATTCAGAGAATGCAGGTGGAAAAATACAGTTTTACCCTTTCTCTTCGTATTTTTCCTCAGTTTTTTTTTGGGAATGGAGAGCAGACCAACTTGCAGCTTTCCTATCAAAATTAATGTTTTGAGCTGTGCAGTTTTTACCATGGGGTTTAAAAGACGTGGGAGGGAGGGAACATAACCAAGGTAACTCAAATGTGTTTTAACAGCGTCTGGGGAGTAGGTGGTTCTGCTGGCCTCTCAAAGCCTTGTCAGTATAGGAGACAAAAAAAAAAAAAGTCTGCTAGTCTCACAAGTCATTCTTCTAGTATGATGTTTCCCAAAGGGGAAAACCTTTAGCTATGTTATCAGCTGAGCATATTGTAGACATTCATTGGTTTAATCTCCGTCAAACTGAATAGATGTTATTGATATGTGTTTTAACTATGGTATGCTTACTATTCTTTATGTGCCTTTTGATTGAGTTTCTGGTAGGAGACTTTCTGACAGCTGTATACTAAGTGCATATGGTTCCTTCAGATTTTTAGCCAGAATTCACTGGGTACTCATCTAATTCAATTAAAAACAAACAAACAAACATATCAGGCTTAAGATCGGCGTGTGATGCCCTGTAGTTTTCTAGATTTGCACAGAGAATTCTTGGGTAGTCTCCCTGGTTGCTAGTTTGGTCTATTCAAAACAGGACCACTGTTATGTTATCCCCGATTTTTATCAACTACCCTTTCCATTTTCCACCCTGATTCTCACACGGGTAGCATGGAGGGCAATTGGCAGCCTTCTATTTATTTCCCTCAGGAAAATGGTTTGGATGAAAACTGATCTTGTTGATCAGAATAAAAGCTGGACCAGGACAAAGGCGAAGAGGAGTATCTGAGGGTAGAATTGTTCTCTTTTTGCTAAGGCTGGCTCATATGGGTGGAAAGCATTTGTTACGTTACGTGTCTAGATACTGAGGCACCTGAAAGATTTTGTGTTGGGCTCCTGCATCTCTGAGAAGTGGAACGTTATCTTTGATGCAGGTGCTCCTAGAAAATGCCATGTTACTATGTAAAATGAGACCGTGTATCCTTAATTTTCTCCTCAGTTTTCGAGTCCTTGACCTACTTTCTGTCTTATTGGTCTTAGCTCCTCTTCTAATATAACCATCAGCCGTTTTAATGTGTGTGAAACTACTTTTCATTATTATCCTGACACCTGAACTGACTTCTGAGTTTTTTCTCCTGTGGCAGATTATCTCCTGGGAAAGACATATATGGAGAAATTGTGGCTCTGCAAGAAGAGTTGGAGCTGTGACACTTCCTTCCTCTTCCTGAGCTTTCCACCTTTGTGCTTAGAACTAAAGAGCCCCTGCTCTTAGAAGAATACAAAGACTTGAGTGGTGTAAAAGTATAGTTTGAAAGCTTATTACAGAGCTTACAGGTTGGCCCGGTACCAATTTTAGTTCAGCTGAAATTTGAAATTAGTCTTCTTTAAATGGGCTTTTATTGCCAAATACTGCTATCAGGGAATGAAAGAGCTAAATGTGCACAGCTATGCATAATGCTACGTTGTGTGTTCCTGCAAACGTAGCATCTTGAAGTCAAATATCTGAATGACGTAAATGCTTTCCTGCTCTCCAGAGCTTTGGGAGAGTTGCCATAGTTTCTAGTAAATTTTGAATCTGAAGTGCAAATAAAATGTTGCACCTACAGAGAAGGAAAAGTGGTGCACTATTTTCTTTTCCCTTATGGTGCAAGAGACAGACTCAGAAATAACAGGAAGTTTCTCCCACTGCACAGCCATAAACAGATACCTTGTTGAAAACAGGTAGGAACTAAGGATATATCACCTATTTCTTGAAGGTGAGATGATATTTTTTTTGTGAGGGATGTTTAGAACCACAACCCTCCACTGTCTGTGGGAGTCATGAGAGCTTGTTTAAATGCTATAAACCTCAGCTTCCTCCCCTCAAGCTTAGGAGGAGCACAGCAGAAATGTCTTTGCCATTACTTGTTTGTGTTCTGTGCCTTCCTGAAGTCTTGCCGTGGTTAGAGGGTTTAATCAGTCATTCAAATAAGTGCAGTTTATTCCCATGCTTTCTGGCAGTGCTGTATGTTTTCACCCTGAAAGCAGCAGAGGCTCAGCTGGGGGCAGAGTCTTCCCTCCTGTCCCACATCTGCTCCTCTGCTGCAGGTCACCAAATCAGAGTGGTGCTATGAGACCTGCGGGATGCCACCAAACTCCTCTCTTCATGCTCACTGAATGTGTGTTGTTTAAACACAGACGTTTCTTGTGTCAAATACATATATAAAGAAATGAACATCATCCTCAGTCCTCACATAAATTTGATATGAGACATCAGGGTTTTTCTTGGTTTTTTTTTTTTTTTTTTTTTTTTTTTTTTTTCCTCACTCTGTGCCTCTGGGTGACTAAATATCTGGAAGTAGCTTAGTTGCTTCTGTATTTACTTGTGATCTCCTCTTGATGGCCACATTACTGTATATTTTCCAAGCAGGTACTATACCATGGGAACATGATAACAGCATTTTGCTTTGCATAGCATGCAGTAAAAATCAGTCTGTTCACCAAGGATCACTTGGAATGTTGTCATGGCTTATTATTTGTGATGGAACTTGGCAACTCCAAGGTTAAACATGTTGCTGAATGCAGGAGGAAAAAAAAGTATATTTTTGTATCTGTGGGAGCTGTGCTTGCAGTAGAAGCAAATGTATTTTGCTCAGTGCAAATCTTTTGCCTAAGCATTTTAAAGCCCTTTTCCTGTTCTTTCCTGTGGTTTCCCAACTTCCAAAGTTCACATGGTACAGATGGCAGAGGGGTTGGTGATACAGTGTCAAAGCTGAGACTAGCAGCTGAACTACAGTACTGGCTCATGTGCCCTGGTGTTATTTCAGGTATAAGTATACACACAACTATTCTGTTTTCGTTTTTAGGTTGGTCTTTCCAATTTTTTCTTTGTGTTTTGAAGAGGAAAAGTATTATTTTCGTTAAGTTTTATTTGTAATCGTTGGTTTAAAACATTTAAACCAATTTGACTTTCAAGCGGGTGACAGGTATCTTGCTTTTTTCTTTTTCATTTCTTTCTTTCTTTTTTTTTCTTTTTTCTTTTTTTGTTAATAGAACTATTTGTAGATGAAATTTTACTGTACTTGGAATAAGATGTTTTCTTGACAAGCAGTTTTCCTGATGGGACAGATAATGAATGCAAGTTAGCTTTGTAAGAATGAGGATCCTGGAGTTGCTTGGGTTGGAGGGACCTTAAAGACTATTCAGTCCCTACCCCCTGCTGTGGGCAGGGCTGCTGCCCACCAGATCAGGCTGCCCAGGACCACATCCAATCTGGCCTTGGATGTGTCCTATAGTTAGGATAGCATGTACTTCCAGAAGTAGAATCCTTAAACTTAGCTGCATATTGAAAAAAGCACGAATTGTAATGCTACTGATGAGGTAGAAGATGGTGGACACCTTGTTTGTTTGTTTGTTTTTTAATCTTACTGGAATAAAGTTTTTAAGGGGGTGGGGGAGAAGATGCTTTGCTCAAGCAAATAATCAGAATCAAATCTTCTTTGTATTAACTTGCTTATCCTGTCTTTGAAAGATTCATATAACCTCAGAAAAGGTTTTGGGTGATTATGGAAAGCAGGTGCTTGTGTGAAGTGTGCGAATAAATTAAACCTGATTTTCTATGCAACAGAATAGCAACCTCACAACTCTTCCATCTTGTCTGAGTTTCTTTGTTTAAGACACCAGTCTGAAAATGAAATTGTACGTTTTTTTTTTTTTTTTTTTAGAAATATCCATATCCATTTATTATTCGTCATGTCTGTTGTTCTTTTTTATTTCACAGAGTTGAAAAAAGAATTGAGTTAGTTACAGTTTAAAGGTGTGAAACTCCTTATCGTGCCGTCAGACAGCAGGAAAAACCCTGACTTTATGTTTAAACGTAGTGGTTATTACTAGAGGTGTAGCACACACATGGTCAGCAGCTTCTGGATGCACTTTGGATGAGTCCTCTCAGTTTAGCTCTGTTGCTCAGTGTCTGCCATGCCTCCCTGAGGCAGAACAGGATCTTGCTATTGGTTGGTTCATGCCCACACTTAAAGAAAACATGGGTGCATTTTCTATCTTTAATCCCTTAGTCAATATTGAAGAGGAATTTACTTTAGTAGCGCAATATCTGCAGCCCAAATGGTTTTTAGGAAGCAGCAGTATTTTATGGGTTTCTACTATGTCCTCTTTTAATTTGGCC